GCCTTGGAAAAACAAAATGGTCTAACCCAATCTGTGTGGTTTTGCTATCATGTGGTGGAATTAATTGATTATGTTTTAATTTAAATACTAACCTCCTCCCGTGACCCAAAGCTCAGTATATCGCGGGCTATTGCCTGCAATATACTGAGAGCACTGCAGCTGGGACGGATCCCGACAATACTGTTGAGATCCACCCAGCTGTGTGAGTAACAGCTGGCACTGCCAATCTAGAGGCAGAGCCAGCTGTGCCCACCCACTCTCCTGTTCCTCCAGTCATTGGAGAGGAGGTAAGGGGAATCCCTGCGGGGAGTGGTGACTGACAGTCAAAGCTTTCTGCAAGGAGAGGATCGGGAAGTGAGCGAATCGGTGCATGTTTCTGTTCACTTCCCAATCGATAGAGCCGACCTGTGACAGCTTCTTTGACACAGGTCGGCTCTAACTATGAGGATGAGTGGAAGTCGCTCACCTCATAGTTCTCCTTTAAGTCAACTTGTCAAAAATATTTATGAACTGTCAGCTGATATTGGTTCAGTATATTTGTGGATGGTGAGATTGGTTAGTGGTTTAGACTCTTTTATAAAGGTTTGGGGTTGCAGTTCTATCTAACTTTAAAACAAACAGATTGTAATTATTAACAAACTGTTCTATTCAAGGCCATGACTGTTAACAAATTGAATATTTGTTTAACTGCCATCTGCACGGGGATGGGATTCTATGAGATTAGTAACAGAAGCAGTAAGTATCAATAACAATAAAAAACCTAGTTATCAGGTTTTATATAACCTGATATAAACAAACTGATCATCCCTGAATATATAGTACATACACCGCATTTTACACTGATGCTGCCCAAGGTACTGTAAGTAAATGTAATCTAAATCTATTAGCTTGTAAGATCTAAGGAACAAGCAACCTTCTGGTTTCCTGTTATATTCATGTTGTTAATAATATATGTATATATACTCTACAATACTGTATATCCTACTGTAAAGCAGTACCAAATATATATATAAATACTAGCAAACTCAGTATGTAACTACACAACTAACAAGCTCATCCCCTTTTGTCACAACACTTAACTAATGTTTTAATGGGAAAAACGAGTGGAACAAAAAGCTAGATTGAAAGGCTGATCAAAGAGTACAGTAATGGTAAGGAGGTTATGCTGCCCTGTAGAATAATTTAGCCGTAGGCACGTGTTAAGTTTATTGCGCCGTAAGTACTACAAGGCATATAAACACTCTTTTATTATAGTAAGTACATCAAGCAGACACACTACGTTATTCAGCTAGACAAAACATCTCTTGTAATAGATTTGCAGCAAGAATCTTCACATTGCTGCCTTTAACAAAAAAGACCAAAGTGCAATCAGAAGTGAAATTCTTAACTAGTCCCACGCAGCCAATCAGAAATATTTTTTTCAGAGCAATGACTAACCCACATGGTGACTGCTACAGCTGCTGTCTCTGCCATTTGCCATAAATTGTTCACTAAGGCCTATACTAAATGTTGTACTGCAGCATACCACATTTTTATATGATATGATACTTGTTAGCTTTTTATTAGCTTTTTTAATAGGAATAGTTATATGAAAGCTTTGGTATCCCATAACAACCAATCATAATCGTTCAATGAGCTAACTTTGGCAAAGTAAAATTTGATTGGTTGCTGTAGGTTACCTTACTTTTCTGGAAAAAAGCATTGATGATGTTCAAACTACCCAAAAAGCTCTAAAGTTCTGTAAAATTCACAGGATATTAAAGCGCTGCACACTGGAATTGCCTTGTCATCAGCAGAGCATAGCTGGGAAATCTCATCTGTCTTCTCATGAGATCTCAGCGAAAGGCATTTTCCTCCCCTGAGACGATGTGCATGATCACAAGTCCTAGTTACATGTCTAGTCACATGTGGCAGAAATCCAGGAAGTAATAGGAGAGCTAATAATTTGCCCTTAGTAAACATGGCCACTGCCAGAAAACCGGAGAAGAAAAGAGAAGTAAGGTATGCAAAGAATACAAAGCTGGCAATTATCTAGAAGTATGTGTTTGTAGATTGTCATTACTAAACGTTTCTAAAGGTGTGTTTGTTGCTATTTTAAAGAAATGGGTAAAGGTCCGCTTTAAGCTAGGTAAACCTATGGGCTGAACAAAGCAAATATAATAGATTCCTCCATCAACACCACCAGCCACTGTCAGAATACCCCAACAGAGCTTGCAGTTGATTGGCTGCAAGCTCCATTCAGCCAAGAATTTTCCAACCAGCTCCTTTCATCAGCAAGAGAATGTGCATCAACCCCTCAGTGACAAATATTCAGTGTATGTGCATTAACCCCTCAGCACCCAGTCCTCAGCTCAGATGCTTGAACCCCTATTTATCTATGCATATGTGATAACCCCTCAACATCCAGCCCATGTGCATTATTTCCTTAATGCTTAGGCTGGCCGTCAACTGCTGGAAATTTGAGCTGTGGGGGGCACTGTTAGCATCACTCCGTTTGACAAAAGTCAATCAGTTGCAGTAACTGTTCTGGTATTCTGACAGCTGTGGGCATTAGCTCTCAGAATACAATAGCCCAGCAGGGGAGATTTCCATATCTATGCTGATTAGTATTTTGTTCTCGTTTAGAGAAAAAAAAGTCCAGGTGTATGGCCAGCTTTAGCCCCCAGGCATGTGTGTGATCTTCTCGGTGCTCAGTCCCCTGGCATGTATGTTAATTCCTAAACACCCACCTCATGTAAACTAACCCCTCAGCACTCTGCACATACATGTACCCATTCATGATTTGGTCTTCTGCTTATGTGGATGAATTGCTCAGCTGCTAGTACCCCTCATCAGCCAATCGCCAGCATGTGTGCTAACCCCCAGCACTGCAGTCCTTAGCACATGTATAATAGCACCTTTGTGGCCAGCGCATGTGTGTTAACTTCTCAGTTTTCAGTGCATGCTGGGTAATCTGACACATTTATTCAGTGCACCACACCATAAATCAGTCTCATCTCCTCTGACCCATGATCCGATATTGATGACAGCTTCACCATTCTACAGCAACAAAGCCCTGCCCGATCTTCAATATCCCTAGCACCACTTCCACTGTTCCTGCAGTGTATGACACAGTCTCTGCTAATAACCTGCTTAAGGCTGGGTTCACACCATTTTCCAGACCAGATCTGGAACATAGTGCATTGCGTTTTTGCCGCATTTTTACAGCGATTTTACCGTGATTTCAGCGCAATTGGAATTTTTGTCAACCTTAAAATGGTCTTACAGGTGCGTTCCAGTGCGTTTTTATGTGTTTTGATGCGTTCCAGTGCATTCCAGACCAGACAAAATAGGACAAGCAGTATTTGTCCGGTCTGGTCTGGAATGGACAGCGCTGGTGGGAACAGAGGGAACAGCCTCCTTGAAATAAAACATGAAATGTGGTCAGGACAGCCCAGAATTTCTGACAAGATCAACAGGCTTTTGTGCACTTATTAAACAGATAAAACGAAATGCTTCCAATCGTACATTTAGCAGACTTAAAGGGAGAAAATAAAAAGTTTATTCTCAGTGGTTTACATACACTTTAAGTGCTTTGCCCACTGTCATACTCTGTACTCTTCTCCTGCACATTCTGCCCACTGTCAAACCCTCTGCACTCTTCTCCTGCACATAATTCCCCCTGTAATACCCTCTAGATTCCTAACCTGCATATACTACCTAATGTTATACCCTCTACTCTCCTCTCCTGCATATATTGCCCCTGTTATACCATTTACAATCCTATCCTGTCCATCCTTCCCGCTGTCAAATCCACTGTACATCTCTCCTGTAAATGCTGCCTGCTGGCAAACCCTCCATACATCTCTCCTGCACATACTGCCCACTAAGACTTTTTATCTAGCATTGTTTTTTATATCCCCAACCTTTCCTATCCTAGAACAGTCAGATTTTTGTAAGTAATAATAAAGGCATATTCTTTACTTGTTATGCTGTCAGGCAAAAAGGAGAGGCTGTAACTGAGCTCAAACACACGTAAGCAAAACACATATGTGGAAATTTATAAAGCAGTAACTGTAACTTTCATTAAACATTCACTGGTGCTGAATGACGCACTGTCATTTAAAAGACATGCACCAGGAAGATTCAACTGCAGTGAATTTTAGACTACCTGCTTTATAAATTTGCACTATAGTGTAAATGGGGCCTTAAAGGTCCTGTACACACTCAATGACCGTATCTTGATCACTACCTTTACAAATAGCCCAGGCAATGATCTAACATCTATGAAGCACTAGCAGACAACACGGGTTGGTGGCCATAGTGTTAGCAAAAATGTGTCCAATTAGTATTGCATACCTTTACCAAACTAGAACTGGGACTAAACTGGGATCACTCTCCTCCACAGGGATGAGTTGCCCTGTACAGATCATCAACAGTCAGATCCCACCAGCCCATTTTAACAATTTCTAGTGTCTGTGGTGTACAGAGAATTTTCAGATGTCAGTGAGCAAAGAATGGTGAGAAATCTGGTTCATAACCACCAGGATCTTCTTCCCTACTCAGATGTAGAAGTGCAGTATACACACACAGAAAGTCTCAATGCCCTATCTCCATAGAACATGCAATGATGAATATATAACCACAAAGATTTTCAAATGTGCTGAAAAATGTATGATAAAGAGAATTTCTCAGCCAAACCTCTCAACATTGTACCCTTATGAACCCCTTCCCCTGCATGTGATGCTTCAGTTAGCTCTGGTATGGGCATCCTTGTAACCAGTGAGCCAAAGGTAAACCTTGGGCTTGTTAATAATGAAGTGCAATGTCCACTCATTGCAAAGCAGACATCAGAGTACAATAAACAAATATAACAAGACACGGCATTATTCACTGAAGTGTTCAGTATGTTAGGTATGTGTGTGGAAGTGTAACTTATCATAATGGTATCACATTATTCTCTTCAGTATTAAATCAGCATCAATAGATTATGTTATCACTATCAATAAAAGGCAACTTACTGGGTCCACACATGGTTCTTGTTAATGTTTCTCACAATTTTCTCTTCAATCCATGTCCCTTGTTTCTAAATTTCTCTCGGCAGGATCCTCCATGGGCGGCTCCAGCTTCCAACCAGTCAAACTGGTTTGTAAGCTCCACCTGGATTCTGGCTTTTTTTCTTTTTTTTTTTTTATCAGCACAGGATGTCTCTGTGTTATCAGTAGGGTTATAAGTGACAATACGACAATTACAATTATAATGAAATAGGCCAAAGGGAAGCAAAAAAAGCACTTTTCCATGAAATGTAAATGAAAGTGCAAGACCTACTATTGCACCACAATGCATTAAACAGACATGTTTATTTTTCAATGTACTGCACCACAATGTAAAGATCCCATCTGTGCGCTATAGTGATTTGCAACACACGTGCATTGGAGTTACATTCAAAATGAATGGCACTTTAGAACAATGCACCATTGACCTATGTGTTACAGTGTATTGCAGTAATGAAGGCCTGCGTTGTCTCGCACTGGCACTTATGTATTATAGCACTTATAGAAGAGTATTTTTCACCCACAGATGATGGAGGGTGTGGGTGCCTACAGGGCCTGTCCTAATGTCTTGTGAGAGGCTCTGTGGCCTTTGGGTCTTTCAACTTTCCCCATCAGGAGTTCCTCTTCAAGAGAGTTTTCATGAAGTACTTGGTGGATCAATTATGGCTAGTCCCTAAGAATCAAGGTGTGTCTAGTTTCCTCCTAGGTGGACTAGGCTGTGACGGACTCCTGCCTGATCTTTAGGGGAAGGTTTGGACTGTAATTATGATTTTTCCAGTTCCAGAGTGGAGGAAACTTAATGAGTAAACTAAACGTCAGATTGTAGTACATCACGGGAGTGAGCTTGGAGCGGTGGCTACTTTACAACACACACAGTAGCCACCCCTCAGAAGGAAGGACAGTGTCAGCACCAATTCAGAGATGATTTGATTATCTACAGCTAAGTCATACACAAATAAGAGACATTTTTGTTAATAATTAAGGTACTTGAATGTATTTAACTCCTGAGTTTAGTGTCACTTTAAGTGGAGGTAATCTATCACAAATGTAATTTTATAATATCACCTTTACATATACTTTTATAAGTTTGGCCACAGACAGACAGATTTCTCACTTCAAACGACTGATGTCCCTTTTCTCTTTTCTCTGAACTTTACCATTTATATGGAGCATATTTCCAACAAGTAGAAAACCTCTAAATATGATTATTAAGTGATTCCGGTGTTATAAAGCACTTGGGCACTCTTAGGCAATAATTACATGGTTTAATGCAAAAACTGGACAGATTACTTTTAAAGATCAGACTGTACATGGGTTCCCAAAAATTGTCCTGTGCATTTATACTAGTAGAAGGCTTTTCAGTTCCTTTTGGCTCACCTCACAGCATCTTAAAATTAATCTGTGCCCAGACTATGCATGCTACAGTATTTATATATATACTGAACCAGCATTACAAGCACTTTAAAATAAGCCCTCATTCAATGTCCTACATAGAACAATAGGAGAGAGACTTGGGGGGAAAGATGGAGGAAAATAATTGGTTAAAGATAAGGGATACTATCACTCACTGCTCAGTGAATACTTTTGCAGTTGAGACGAATTACACATTTTTAATGCGATGGTATATGTTCCCTTAAGAAAATGGTAAAAATTGGAAAAAGAATTTCCCCCCGAATGTTTCAGAGGATGTTCGGAAATAGGCACTCTCCTATGTATAGTATGGGATTGTAAAAAAAATAAGACTTTTTCATTATATTTTCAGTATATCAGTTAATATATACAGTATTGGGGAAGATGCTGAAGAAGAATCTATGGGAAGCATTATTGAATTTGAGACCAAGGGGTGCATCCCATCCCAATGCAAATGAATAACATTTATTTTTACAGTTGCTAAACAAGTTTTGGGAAAACATGGAAGGCTGGAATTCTAAAGGTACAACTAATGTATGTGGTATGAGATAAATGAAAAACTATGGGCTATTATTAATGAGTGTTGGATTGGAGACCCTGGATAAAGAATTATATGCCATCTTTAGTGTAGTTGTATTGAGAGGAGGCATGATTAGGGTGCTGGGGATTCTACCCAGAGGGAGAGGAGAGAGAATGGGAGAGAATTTATTTTTGTTGTTGTCGGTATGCAAGATTTGTTGGGGGGAATTGTGTTTACATTGTTGAATTGTATAATGGAACAATGTAATGTTGTAATGTATGTTATATGCGTATGTGTTTTGATAGAAAATGAATAAAAATAATGAATTTAAAAAAAGCACTCATTCACCTCTGTGTTTAATGCTTACAACACAGGAATTTAAATATTAGCTATCTAATGTAAACAAACAGCAAGCTGTTAGAAACTGACTGAAACCTTTAGGCCCGGTTCACACCTGGGCGTTTTGTAGCGCGTTGCTACGCTCTGCAAAACGCTCACCATATACATAGTTGCAAACTACAGATGGAAACAAAGTTTTGTAAAACATTAATAGCATTATTTACATCAAGCTAGCTGGACACTACGCCATTCGGGGCAAAGTGACAGTGTCTACACATAGCCTACCTCCAAGGTACAGTATGAATACTTACCCGGTATCTTGCTATGTCCCCAGTACAGTGTCCACACCTGTTTGAGCTCAGAGTCGACTGGTGTTGGAGCTTAAACAAAGGGTATAATGATGTGACACCTGTCAAGTGACAGCAGTTTCACCTTGGCCTCTCAAATTTTCACATCGGGGAGGTCATATATGCCCCCTCGTATCTGGAAGCCTTGGCCCTGACGGTGCAGGGAGAAAGAAATGGAGCATAGCTAGGTAAGTATGCATGCTTGGGGGGAGCAATGAGCAAACACCTTCAAAGTCCTAAATAGCAAAGATGACAGTGTCTATTTAAAGTCAATGTCCAGCCAAAACTGTTATAATTTTAAATAGAGTAGGGATGGGTGAGAAGTGAACTCCTTGTCAGGTTTTTATTGTTTTTCCCTTGCTTACTGCCCTACTGACAACAGTTTTTTAAATGCCTGGACATACACTTAAACTACTTGTTTTACTGCGGGTCGCCGTACATGTATGGAGTTTTGAATTTATTTTTCCTGCTCACGAACGCAGGACACAGAGTTTTAAACAGTTGGTAATGGCTGTTACACACAAGCGTTCGGGTGCTCTACAGCCACCCGATCACTTGTATGGTGCTAAGCTGTTTGCAGCCCCCCTCCACCGCGGCTGGCAGCTATCCCGGGCTCCACTACCCCTCGCATCTGGGACTGGCACAGCAGCTCTCTGTACAGAGATTGGAGGGAGTCTCACTTTCCCACCTGCTGATCTCCTCTCTGATCTCTGAATGGGGGAAGTGATGTGTATAACATCACTTCTGCCTTGAGCCTGCTATAGCCAGAGAAACAGCTGATGAAGCAGATCTGTGCTTCATCAGCTTCTTTGGGATACCCTAGGTGACATTTGGGGTCTTTATAGGAAAATCTAGTTTTCTTACTTGCTGATGGGAGGTGTTTTGTTAGCTGTTCATCCTAGATAAAAGATTTAAGGGAGATAGGACATTGTTTGATATTAAAAATGAACCAGAGGGATATTGGTATAGCTGGTATTACCTATGAGCTTAATTGTTTTAAGTAGCTAAGCTGAATAATAGTGCCAGACGTTTGGGCAGTTAAAAAAACTATGGCATAATTTTTTTTGCCATAGTTCTCTTTAGGGTCACAGGAGGACATATACTAATGTCCTCCTGTGACCCAAAACTCAGCATATAGCGGGCAATGCTTACAGAGTAGAGCCGTGCTGCAGCTGGGATGAATAACATTGTCGTGATCCCCCCTGCTGCCTGATTGACAGCTGGCCCTGCCTCTCTAGAGCCAGCTGAGCCTCCCCCCACCCCGTCCGTCCCTACAGTCAGTGCTGGAGGAACAGAGGGGAGGGGGGAATCCCTGCAGGGAGAAGATCGGGAGCTCAGCAATTGGTGATATGTGATCGCTCAGTACTCGATCTATGGAGCCAATGCGTGACACTTTCAATGTTGGCTCTAAATATGGGCATAAGTGTATTTTACTCATATTTCTCCTTTAAATCTGCCTTTCTGTGTTGAGCAGTGCAATGTATTTTTCCTACTCAAGGGCCTCTACCACCCCAGTTTAAATTCGTTTTTTTTACCTTTGAATGGATAATAAGCACATCTTAAAATTATTTTTTTATTGGAATGAGTAATGGTTGCATGATTTCAGTGGTGGACATCTTATGTTGTAATTGAAAAATCATTTTACTGTTCCACATTCTTTGCTGTTTAATGCATAACCTAGAAAAACAATGGTCATACAAATGTTTACCTAGTGCTTCACTCTATTGCTGGATTAGATAAGTCATGTCAGTTTTTACAGAGCAGCTATATATTTTGGTTATGTGTAGGCACAGACATCTGAAGAATGCTTTTTTTCCCCCCTTGCATAAAAGATTACCAGTCAAGATAGAGAACAAAAAAAAAAGAGACCATCAGGCATTATGTAAAGGAAGGTCAGGCAACGTTTCACTTGGGGGGCACAGGAGAATTGTCTTCTCCCATGGAGGCCACTTGCCAAATTTTATGAAATTTCATACTTCAAAATAAAATGTAACTATATACAGTACCAGTGCTAATGTCTGTATGTGTTTATAATGTCAGTATATGGGTTTGTGATGGTTTGTGTGTGTGTATTGTCTGGATTTCTGTGAGCGATGTTGGTATGTGTGTTTACGTTTGTGTGTGTCATATCAGTATGTGTATATGTGTGAAGTGTCAGTATATGTGTGTGGTTTTTCCCACAGGTTTTAATTTTAATCATAGAGGACCAACAAATTCACACATTCACTCATACACAGAAATACACACAGAGAAATACACCCCCACATTCAGAAATACACACTCACACACCCACAAACAAAATAACACATCGCAGCATCTTAAACTAAAAGAAATATCCCCCTCACCTACTTACATTTTTGCATGGAGGGGGGCACATTCCCTGGTGGTCCAGTGGGAGATTAGTAGGGTCTGCACCTTTGGCTTGCACTTTTGGCCTGCACTCAGTGGAGGCTGTCAGAGCGCATGATGCGCTCT